AGATACTATGCAAGTAGGTAATAACGTGGTTTTCCAGACTTGTTGGAAAGAAAAACAATGTTGCTCTTGGTTGTTAGCACGCTCAAGTGTTTGAGATGCTTTATAAGCTCTAAACTACATAAGGGTCCTGTGGCAAGATAAAATAGTATTTTAATTCTGATCAGCAGTATGTAAAAGAGAAATGGGGGAGAAGATGGTTGGTGAGGGAAGAGAACTGAAAGACATTCATCTCGTTGCCTTGACACATGTTACTATTCTCTGTCATCAAGAAGGAAAAGAAAAATATTTGAATGGAAACAGATATGGGTCCCTGTTACTGAAGGCAGCCCCGTATACTGGAGGGTTTTTAAGTTATGGAAACAGAAAAACAACAGCAGGAGAACTTTGCTGATGATATATTGAGGCTGACACCTTCAGTGGAACTGGTAGAATCTGCAGATGTGTCGCGGTATTAGGCTGAAATTATTAAGAACCTTGAAGGTGAAAACAGACTTTTTAAAACTAAAAGTTGAGTCTAAAGGAAAGCAGTGATAACTTCATATTGGGGAGTAATTTTGTCCCTTTTATTCCCAGATGAAAATCTGAGAATACTTCATTTAAGCTGCTTCTAAGTAATCTGCATTAAAAATACCTCGTCAATACTGTAATTCTCCTTCACAATAAACATTGTAGACCTATACCGGCTTGAAAGGAAAACAAACAAGTTTTAGACTACATTAATGTCGTCTGAAAGACAGGTAATTATCACCTGAGTATGAAAAGAGAATCACCAGAGAAGTGCAATACACGTGTGCGCCTACAATGTTTAGTATTTGGTATAGTTACTTCATTTCTAAACTTACTTTTCTAAAGTATTTTCTATTTGTAAAAATGTATTGTTAGGATACCCTTACCTTTACCCTATTTTCACACCATTATATAAAAAAAAAAATTAAGTTCAGCTTTATTTTTCCGAAGTAGTCAACACAAAATTTTATGCTGGTTAATTTGTGCAGAAAATACAGAGATTCATCCTGTATGGTTTTTTTTTTTTTGGTATCTCCATTGTGGGTCTCTCATAATGTGCAGAATTTTAAAAACCTACTGAAACAGAAAAGTGAAAAATTGTTTTTACGGTCATATTCATATATTTTTAGTGGCCTACATTAGCATACTATCTGAATGTATGTCTTTATCTCATCTCCCTAAACTTGTTTCTTTAAGTGTGATGAACTAAGTACTGTGGGTTTAAAATTTAAATCAGTGCATGACTGAGTCATCAGAATTTTGTAACGTAACAAAATCTCTGCTTCTGTAAAGCGCGCGCACACACGTACATACATACATCTATTGGGGAACCTTCTGTCCAGAGTCTTGCTTGTAAATTTAGGAGGACTCCAACATGTGAACAGTTGCACACAGCAGTGATGCAGGCAGCACCCTCCACCCAGGGAAAGCCCTTCCTTCTGTATTAACAGGGTACTGCTCAGCAGTTCCCCAGATGGCCTGCTACTACTGCTTTAAAAAAATCCCCGCTTCATATGCCACTGCTTGCTTTGATGCACGAGTAGGAAATTGTGCAGTTCTCAGACTCATGTTTTACTGGTCCTGTTAGTCATACAATATTTATCTGAAGTGATACATGACTCTGTCCTGTTGGCAAACCAATACTGGAAAAGTTTGTAGAGGAATGGTGTATCTCTGGTTTGTTACATGTCAGATGCTCTTGCACCAAAATTACGTACAGCCAGACTGAGTATCGCAAGTAACCCACTACCAAGAGAAACTTGGTTTAAGGAAATGTTCTGTGGTCACTGAACACAGGCTGTATCAATACAGGGCAAGCCTGAGAGAAGGATGGAAACAGGCTACGAGTCTGATGTTGCTATCTGACTTCTAAGAGGTCTTTTCATTTTTGGAAATACCCTGTGCTAATTTGTATGGTGACTTTGGAAAGACTTGATTTTTTTTCAGAAAGATAGTAAATTTAAATATATCCTGTGCAGATCTGTGAGGGTGTTTGAAAGTGATACTGCTGCTGTACATGGAACAGCGCGATGGGACTGTACATTTGCCTAAGTTCAGAAGGATTTTCTGAGTGTCTTTTTACCATGTGATTTTGACAGCATTATTGGTACAGAACAAAGGAATGGGGAATCAGAACACAAAAAGGGAAGAGCAGGAAGACGGGGGAAGAAAAATATTTTTATATTGGTCAAGAGAGTACTTGAAAGGGATGTTGGACTAAGCTAAGGAAGGAGAAATAAGAGTATGAAGCTGTGTCAGGAAAAGAAGTTCTAGGGAGATGCATGTAAACAGGCAGTTTCGGGACTGAAATAGTCCACTGGAGGCAATAAAGAAGAAAGAGCTTTTGGGCTCCTTATTTTCCTCTGTCACATCTAGACATGAGGAGGCCTGCTTTACTCTGTGCTTTACACTCTTTACAGGTGAGCTGAGAATCATGCCTTTTCTTCATGTAAAAAACTTATTATTAATACCGTGTGGCTAATGCCTGCTGTAGGAGTTGAAGGGCTTACCATTATAGCAGCATGAATTCCTTGTCCTTTTATTAGTCTCTGTGTTCTGAAATGGTTTATATTTCTGTTTTTTGGAGATCTGAGTTAAGTTGAACTTGGTGTTCTAGAAAGACACAAATTATCACCAAGCAACCTTAACTCTGTGCTTAAGACATTTTTGTCTCTGTATATTCAGAGTTCCTACAAAGTAGTCAAATGCTCTTTCAGTTTAGATCAACTAAGCATATGGGACATCCTGGGAATTTCAGGGCAGCATTTTTTCACGTGCATCTCCAGAAGTTTCATTCCATATTCCTCTGTGTCACGAATTTCCAGCATTTCCCCAGTCAGGAGCATTTTGGTTTTGTACAAAAAGCAAAACTTCTACCTTTCGTGGAAAGATAGGAAAGAAACCATAATTTCCTATAATAAAAAGTGGAAGACTATATCCATGTGTTGTGCAAGGGAAGCCATCTTCATTCTTCATCTTGTGTAGCTAAGTGTATAAACAGCATTTCGGCCAGAGTCTGAGGGTGAAGGATAGGACAGTTTCTGTCGTGTAGTTTTACTGAGTTATTAAAGCTATTGCAATAAAAATGCTCAAAAGCACTTTGTGTGCAGTCAAAATGGATACAAGAGAAATAGTCTTTGGTAAGAAAAAGCAAGAATTAGACTTTTTCTGGATTTTGTGGCTTTTTTTCCCTAGAAAGATTAGTAGAGGTCTCCAGATTCTGAACTAAAATGCTTTTGTCAATTTCTTGCATGATTCTACATTAAATTAGGTTTTTTTAAGCAACCTTTTAAATAATCATTTTGATATCTCTTTTCAATTTATTATCATATTTCTCCAAATCCTTTTAATAGTATTTTAAGCACGTTCACTGTGTATAACTGTACTACCAGGAAAGAAGTCATTGTATGATGGTGATGGAATTTGGGTTGTGCTACCTGATGCTTTCATTTCAGTGGGGTTTTTCCCATTGGAAATAAAAGAGGTATTAATGGGGGTTAGAGGGCGAAGGTTCCTCTACTAAGGGAGATCTTTTCTTTGGCAAAGGCATGTTCGATTGCTGAGAAAACCTATACTAACAGAAATGTCTTTTTTAATATCAATTCTGTTAGTTTTAAATCCCCTTAGTAAACTCAGAGAAACAAGTCCTGTTAGGTATTACTTCTGGTAATTGAACAGAATTGTCTATAACAGAAGTAACCTTCTCATACTGTAAACAAAATTTATTCTTCCTTTTTGAAGAGGGACAGTGACTAAAAAATTATTTTCTTGACTCTTTAGCAGTCGTAACTAAAACATATGTAGGGACCTCACAGACGTAGTAATATTAATTTGATACCTTAAATGACTCGGAAATATCCAGCTGTCATAAATTTGTACTAGTAACTAAAGTTATAGCTTTCATGACTAAGTTGCTGCATCTGAACTTTTCACTGAAAATTGTGTAAACAAAGAAAATACATAGTTCGTTTTGCATAATCAAAAATTACTAAATTGTCCTACAGTTTCCAGAAGTTAAATAAATACTGCAGTCATGCAGCTGCCTATTGGGTTCCCAGCATGCTGGAAACATGAACATGTCCTCCCAGTTTAGTTGGAAAACTACCTTCGCAGAATTGATGGCTAAAATAAGACAACGGTACAGACTACAAGCAAGGAGTTCCTGTAGTTGTCTCCCCTTTACACATTATCCAACACGCAATGCTTTGCCTCCCCAAGCTATGAGATAGGTCAACGTCGATTTTGACATAATAAAACTTTGAACTTATTTGTGACTCATCCCTGCATTAAAGATGAAGAGTGCTTTTCTCCTCTCCCTGCCCCTCCTGCATAGGATGCAGCTGAGAGATTCTATTTAACATCTGCTGAAATCACTGAAAGCTCTTCCATTGATTTCAGAAGAAGCTGGATTAAGCACGTTTTGTCTTTGAACTTTGCTCTTAACAGAAGTTTTTTTCCCTTTGCCTTGGCATTAAATGGCATACCACCTATTAATTTTCCACAATCAAGGCAATGAGAGTATTAGCATCAAAAGAAATTGAAAAATAATAAATGATTCTTCTTAAACTGACTTCCTTTAAACCTAATCTGCTATAAAGCGAGACTGCAGGTACATGCTAGAATAGTAGACAAGTCTTTGCAAGATTGGAGCCTAATCTTCAAGTTTTGTTATCTGTATTCTAAGACATTATTTATAATTTATTGTGCAGAAATTAAAACAAATCTGAATTGTTTACACATTCTACTGATGTTGCATAGATTAGTGTTTATTATTTACTACGGATATGTTCTTAACATTGTTAATATATATGTTAATTATTTCCTGTGATATTTAATATCCTTAATCTGCATACACTGCTCTTCATACCTACAGTTCCATTTACAAAGTGGGGAGAGAATGTGTTTGTACCTGCATACAGCTTTTTAAATCAGTAGTCTCTTTCTTTTTGCTTTAACTTTTCTAATACGGTTTATTTATTAATATTACTTTTCAGAAAAAACAGAGAACAAAGGATTTGTCCCAGCTGTTTCATTCATATAATCCATATGATCATAAGGTAAGAAAAGAATATACTACCTATGTTTGTTGTTAAGAGTAATTCCAAACATTCATGATAACTATATTTCATGTTTAATGCAAAAATGAGAGGAAATGATAAAATTGAAAGCGCTAGGGTATTCATGTTACTTAAATTGTGCTATCATATAAATGTTTCTTTGTTTCTTCAAGCCAAGCTTGAAAAGCTGCATTTTCTGATTTGTGAAGCCAATGACTCGCATTAACCTCATAGAAGTATAATTTATAGACTGACACTAAATCCTGCAAAGTGACCATATGTGGTATCAGATTCCCCTCTTTTTTTTTCTCACTATTTAGAAACTGTGTTGCCCTTGAGTATGTTGCTTAACCTATTTTGTCAATTAGGCCCTGAGATACATGATACTAATGAATTATCTATTGATTCTGGAAGCATCACTGGAAGAGGCTGCTTTGCTAACAGCCTGATGGTTGTCTGGGGGAAGAAGAAACACGCATCATCATTATAACTTGATCCTTATTTATAAAGTCTGGGAACCCTGGTTAAAAAACCCCTAGTTTGTTATAACCATACTATAGGGTAAGAAAAGAAGGTCACTTCCCTAAAGACATTGCAATGTGAAATAAAAAATTAAAGCTGTTGCAAGAAGATTGGAGAACGAGGAGACACAGATCACAGCACTTCTGTGCTATAACTATGTCATGGGGGTTTTGTAGACATTATGCAAAAGAGAGCATTAAGCAGCAGACCGAAGGAGAGTTAAGTAGGTTTGTAAATATTTTGGGGGAGTTCCTCCTATCTTGGATGCATCTGTGGCCATGTTTTTTTAAGCAAGTGCACTAAATCCTTTACCAATTTGTCAGCAGTATGAGATGACTGTCTTTGCTGCTTATGTTCTGCAAAGCATGTGTGATTTTGCAAGTACCCATTTCAAAAAAGAAAGATTTGAAACGTTTTTTTGTTTAGACATTTCAAAGGAAAGTTCTGAACTGTACTCCTTTTCCTGGCTGTGTAGCAAATAGCTATACATTGGAAAAATTAGCTAGGTTTTATATCTGGGGGAAGAAGGTGGCCGAAGTGTGTATGTATGTGCACCTATCTCTGTGTATGAACACATGCGTGTATGTGTGTAACTACACATATGTCAATGAGAAAGAAATACATTGTGTAAATACTAATGGATTCAATTTATCAAGTAGGTTGTTGCTATGAGAGATCCATAGTTACCAGCAACTTGAAGATTTACAGTTTTTAAAAAAACATTGTCAAATAGTAGGTATATTCTATAATTTTAACTATTATATATCATTTCAAGTTAAATCCATCACTTTGAAGTATTTTTTTACAGATAGACTTGCATTATTTACGAGGATTGGTAAAGCAGATATTAAGGGCCTGTGAAAATTGAGAAACATGAAGAATAAAGGAAATTAGTGTGACAAGATTTTGAATAGGATCATTGCTTTTTTGAGTTGAAGCATTTTAAGGTAAATGTAATAGTAAGTCAATTAAGATCTAATAAGGACAAGCAACTGATGAACCAGAAGCTTTTGATACTCCTCTCCATGTCTACATTCTCCTGTGCCAAACACTTTTTATTCATAGTACAAGGAAATTCCATTATTCTTTTATTAGCACTTTTAATGGAGCCTGGCCATTTGTAACTCCTGCTGCCTTCCTGCTCATATCCTTTGTGGCATTATATCAAAGTATCCTCAAATGATTTTGGCTTCAGTTGTGAAGACTTGTGCACTCTTTACAAATTAGTCATCAGGCAAAGTGGAATTGAATATAAATGCTTAGGTATATTCCCTTTTGATCTTTGTTTTAAGACCTTTAATAAATTATTAAAAGTAGCACAATTGTTTGATGAGTGATTTTTGAAGCTCCACACTTCTGCTGCTTCCAAGCACATTCTGCATATATATCTGAGAGTAAAACGGGGAAAAAAGTACAAATGACAGTTTATTACAAGGATGATCTTTCCTTATTTTCCTTTTGACAGAGAACATTTTCCTTCTGCTAACTACTTCCTATTTGTAGTGGCTGCAACAAATTCACTGCAGATTTCTTGCTCTGTGTGCTGTTACTTTCCACCTCAGCTGCCAATATCACAATTGTTGCAGACCAGAGGAGGGCTTTTAATTTTTATATTAATTGTAACAGTAATCACCATTAGTTGAAAATACAGTTATTTCAAGGGGAGGTCTGTAGTAGTTTTACTCTAGTTCTGTTTTGTTTGATTTACGTGGCAGAAAGTTTGGTTGGTTGGCGGGAGGGGGAGTGTTTGCTATTTTGTAGATTATTTGCAGTAAGTGTAAAAAGATTTTATGATGACTTTGTGAAAGTGTTGGTGATGCAGGATCATGGCATGAATTACTTGAATTACTGGCTTCCAGGATTCTTAGTTGGTTGATTAAAATGTTTTTCTCTGAGAACCTTTCTAAAGTAGAAAAGAGGTAACCTTAAATAAGTTGGAGCTCGGTAGTAGTAGTTAAAACAAATGTAAAAGGGAAGCTCATGAACTACAGTGGCTGGAACAAGACTGTCTACTGAGATTTGATAGTATTTCATCCTGTTTTGATGGGATATTGCATAGAAAAGAGAAAAATCAATCAGAAAATGTTTATTCTTCCAAGTTTGTGCTTCACTCACTAAATCAGAAAGTCATGTTTTGACAGAGTAACTACACTAACCTTACTACTATTTATGCTTGGTCAGGAGACCAGTAGCTATTAGAAATAGCAGCTATTCCTGGAAATTTTACCTCAATATATGTTTGCCTATCTAGTGTAGGTTACTGCATCCTGGAAGACATTTTAAATGTTTGTGCTCCTGCATTCCCAGGTGAAAAGCCAGCTCTTTTATGGAGGGGGAAAGCAAGGATTTCCTTTTCCTTCCACTTCCAGCTGTGGAATCTTGTATCTAGTGAGGCCTTAATTCAGCAGCAGAGGGGGCAGAGCTTTCAAATTCTTCTGTGCAGAAGGGTTGGAAAAGTGGGAAATATTCTGTCTCTGCTGATAGCAAGGGAGGAGTAGTTAAGGTGTTCTTTAATGCCTAAATATTTATAGTTTACTATCTAGTTGCCCTTCTCATTGTTCAGATGAAACCATACAACAGCAAATCTCAAAAATTGCCCTTTAGCTGTATATTTATCCTATCCAGGGGGATTTGATCCTGTTCTCTTTCACCTAGTATCACCGTAGTGCTTGCAGACCCTCAGACTACGGAACCTTTCAGATACTCTGCCACTGACAAAGCTCATTATAGCATCAGTCTTGAATGCCTGGCAAATATATTGAATTCTTGATGTGAGAAACATATAAAAAGCTCACTTTTCTCAGTTTTTTGTTGTTCTTGTTGTTAAAATGAATAAATATCTTCTAAAATTCTTTCTTTCCAAAACTAAATAATTATTTAGGAAAGGCTGGATATCTCTTGATTATGGAAAGCTGTTCCAGGTGGGTGTTTGTCATTTGTTCAAACTCATTTCAGTTAGCATGTGTAAAAATACATAGAACTCTATTTGTAGACGAAGCCATTGCTTGTTCTGAAATACTTGCTTTTTCCTGTGTTTATGTAGAGTAGGAGTGTGTATAGTCTGGCTTTCTTAAGAGTCAAGTTCTGACTGCTGTGTAACTTTTCTCTAGTTAGCAACAGAACAGCTCTAACAATTATATGTACAGTTTATCTTTTTCTAGGACCATCAGAAAAGTAAGATAAAAATGATATCCTCAAAAAGCAGTACCAGCAAAGGTTTTAGTGATTTAAAATTAAAATGAACATAATTGAGGAGTGGTTTGGGTTTTTTTACCCTTAGTTGTAATCTGGCCAGTTTTCTACTAGCTTATTTAATGAAAGATTATGTTTGCACACAAGTCGTTTCTGCTGACTTTTTTCTGTGTACACTGTGAGGTCCCACACTGCACACAGCAAGAGTTTTATTGTGTCTGCAGTGAACGTTTAACTCCCTACAGTATCTTTCTCCCGAATGATGTTTGCCCTTTAAAACTTGTGACCCAGTTTTTTGAAAGCTATTAAGGCAGTTGTGATAGCAGGTTACCTGGTCAAAACAACAGGTTTGAGAATCTTAATATGAGCTTCAGGGTCCAATATGCAGCAAGTGTCCAAATTCAGCAGCACAGAGCTCTAGTTCCTTTTCTTCGTTTTGTCAGATGAGTTAAGTATTCAGTCTAGCCCTGGAGCAATTGTTTAAAATGATAATCCTCAATTTATGCTCTGCAAAAGAATGTTTTTACATATAGTAAACACAGTATAGCGGAACTACTATTCATTTTGCTGTTCTGCCTTCTTGCGAGGATAGCCAGAAAGAGAGACCTTAGGGCATGTCCATACATGCCTCTGGCAGCATTGTACTGTTACAGCGAGAAATCCTCTGAGAGTTGTGCTTAAAACTCAGCTCTGGATTCGTTTCTGCCTTTTGCAACCTGAATCTCTTGCTCAAGAATAGGGCATGATCTGTGAAAAAATAAGGTCATGCTTACAGCATTGGTGATTTATTTTAGCATATCCTGTGTCCAACCAAGTAAGAAATAAAGTCAATGTTCATGTGATTTGAAAAGAGGTTTTGAGAGATTTCCAAGTTGAAAGTCCTCAGGATTAAAAAAATAAATTACGATTTCAAAATGTGCTCTAATTGATGCAATACTACTAAAATAGTTGTAAAATCTTTAAGCCTCATGCTTTAAAATGTTCTTTATTAGTATGTTCTGGAAATGTTAAAACACTCGGAAAACTGGAACCCCATAGACAATGCCTGTGAGATTGGCAAGTTGTTGGACCGTTGTTATTAAGATATGTAACTAAGTGACAGAAAGCTTTCTTTTTTTGTTGGCTAGCTCTTAGCCTGGTAGGCAGTTTCAGGAGGCAGGGGGTGGTGTCCTGTATTCTGTTGGCTTTGATAAAGGTAGATATGTGCATAACTGATTCAAGGAAGATTAATAACAAGATTATGTATGGCTATCCTTGAAGTTAAGGTGCTAATAGCTGCTGTCACT